AAAAGTATTGATACATTTTTTGTAGAGAATTTTATGATCTACAATTTTTATCTGAGGTTATTTCATGATGAAACTTACTGTTTTCCTGAAAATCACGAAAAACAAATTTTTCTCGAGATTTTTGACCTTTGACCTCGAATAAATTTTTTTCCAGGCAACGAAATCATTCGGAATTTCAAAATCTTATTTTTAACTATGTTTTGAACAATTACACACGTTTGCAGCTTGTTGTAAATTTATGTACCTTCCAATGTCTAGATTGGCCGAATTATTACTCTTTTTACAAAAACTGAAATTTTGACTAGGTAACTTCAGAGACTTCCCCTCCGCTTGCGACAGAGGACGGTTGTGCCGATAACGACCGTCCTCAAAGATAGCACGTGAATGTCGTGGTCGAAGTGGAGTCCAAAAGTGAGGTGTTTTAGAAAAATAAAGTCAAGTTCGAAGTTGAAGTGAAATACATTTTGTGTGGATATCGACGGATTCGACGAGGTCGTCAGTGTGATAATAGATGTGTTATTTGTGAAAGTCATATTGAGAGGAATGGCGCCCTCCTAGTAAAAAAATTAAGTGTTTTCATGAAAGAAAAATGGAATGAGAAAACTTAGGGTGGCAGCATTGCCTCGAGCAGGTCAGCTGCGCCCCCGGACGACACTTCTGTTTACTATGGACAGGAGGAGTCAGGCCAGATGCGCTCGACTGAGAAGCAGCGGCCATATAAATTAAAGAAGAAGAAGCTAACTTCAGTGTGTCGGTTTATCGTGACGATGTGCGCGCGCATCGCCATAATAAGTATTACTTCAAACTGTGGAATACTTCCACTTCGAAGAAGAAAGCAATTGAGCTTCAGTAAATGGCTGCCGGCGGGTAGGTCAGAACCGACGATGTATACATATTTTCTATATTGATTCCATTTGTTAGACGTGATAATTTCATGGTACAAACCTGAATAACTCTCATTGGTAATCCAGTCTCTTTCGCAAGCTGCTCTCGTATATGCCTAGTCGGTTTCGGTGTCTGAGAGAAGGCAGTCTTTAGTATTTCCAGCTGTTTTGCTTTAATCGTCGTTCTGGGCCCTCTGCGTTTCGACCCAGCTCCACTATCATCAGGACTTTTGTTTTCCGTTTGTGAATCTCTTGTTTCTGGGTCGCCGTCCAATGACGTTTGATCTTCGGAGTCATCCTGGCCTGTTTTCGAATCCTGTAACAATGAAAAAATCAAATTCCACTGATATGATTGGCCATATTGAGTACAGTTTTCCTGATTTAAATTCATTCAACAATTCAACAGTTAACAATATTTCAGAAGATAAGAGGTCTTGATCTTGGAGTGAAAGAGGGAGAAAAACAATAATAACAGTTAACAAGATTTCGGAAGGCAAGAGGTCTTGATCTTGGGATGAACGAGGCAGAAAAACAATACTTGATTACTTTATGTTGGTTCAGATTAATAGAAACTTTCATTTTTAAAATAACTTTTGAAGTTTTTAATAAAAAGGTTGGAGATGACGATATCAGTAATACGCCTACCAAAAATCCAACTTTTATTTCTGATCTAGTTAAAATATGAATAACTTTTTATTCAGGTATAGAGGATTAAGAAGGTTAATATTCTTGCTAGAAAGCTCAGATTGCTGGGTTTATCACAAAAAAGTTGTGGTCTCGATCATCTATGCAACAATTTTCAACAATTTTCAACAATTTTTCTATAATCTCTTCGATAACTTTTGTATTGAAAAATTTCACTTTATACTTTTATGTAGATTATACTCCAACTACTCACCGGATTTAGGGACTGTCATAGTAGATGAAACATATATTTAGAAAAAATCAATCGAAGAACTGAGGAATTACTATTGATGACATTTGAGAGACTCAATTCATCATTAAGTTAGAATTTAAATCGCTGGCGTTGATGATGAACGATGATTCAATTCAGATTTAATAAGAAACCAATTTTTTTTCTATAACTGAGAAACTTGAGATATTTCTAATTATTGTTTGAATAATTTTTCATCGAACATAAGTAAACTAATTCATTTACCTACCTGTCCTATTGAGCTGCTGATATCTGAATGAGGCAAGGAATTGTTGTTCGTTTCTCCAGGTGCAGGTGGAAGGGAGCCATGTAATGAATGATGTTTCAAAACTGAAGACGCCGTACTGTTGTCATCGTCATCATCATCTTCGGACGCCGAACCCATCAGAGATTCTGAAACAAAATAAAATATGGTGATATCTTCATACATGATTAGAATTGACAAATTATTTATTTTCGATTACAAATATATAAAGTGAATGTCACATAGAACTCTATTAGGAGCTGACGGTTGAAAAGTGAAATTGTGAAAAATGAGAGGTGAGCATTTTCAAACGAATACAATAAATTATTCGTTTGAAAATGTTCCGAATAAAATAAACTATTCATAGGAGATCATCATGAAATTTATTGCAAAGAGAAGGCTAGAAGTTCAAGGAGTCATTGTATGGAGTTTTTCAATATCAGTTGCCAATATGAATCTGGGCTGTATATAAAGAGTATCGAGTTGAAGCTTGGAGTATATCAGTTAGATTTTCCAAACAGAATGCCATGTACCGCGTTCAATAATCGCGGTCTGCCATTGAAAAGCTTTCAAAAATATGATATTATATAGGTGTGCATTTTTGGTTCAGCCTTACACCACTGATGAGACCTACGGCGAGCTGAAATAGCGCTGACTGGTGTTGAATCATGAATGTCGAGACTGGCGTCGAAATTTCGAGATCAAAATCGAAATTTGAATTATGAAGTCGTAGTGTTCAAGAAAGAAGTAATAAAAATATGTAGCCTATTTTGCGCTTCCATAGAAGTGTATTTCCTTCCTCCAAATTTATCGTAGAAATCAATTTATACCAATATAAGAAAATGGGCTTTCACAGCCTGAGTCACGATTAACGAGAACAAAACTAAGGTTTGAAGGCAATGCTTATACTACCAAGAGTTTCGTCTGCTACTGCGGTAGACATATCCACTGGTGCATGTGTTAACTGTGAGGATGAAGGTACTATCTCGAAGTTTCACTAACAACAGTCGTTGTTAAGATACTAGTAGGAGGCGAAACATTTGGTACAACATGTTCCTTTCGACCACGGCCCACCCAGAAGTGCTCACCTCAATCTGAGGCGGTGGCTGGGGATGAACAGAAGTGTCCACCCCAATCTACCGTTCGGAATGAGGCTGGACATAGCAGGTTACCTCATGATGTAATACAAAGGCCAAGGCGCAAGCGCATTTGCGGCCCCGAGGCCAAAAGGAGAAAGAGAGCAAAAGAGGCAGGATTGGCAGCGACTATAAGTGCATCCTCCTCCCCCACTCCACCTCCAACATCAAGGTCACTTCCTGCAGCGGGCGCCAAGAGCTCCACCTTGAATAAAGGCAAGGAACCAGCTGCCCCTACAGGAAAGCTCCCTCACTTGTGCACCTTCACGGAGGGATCCTCAAGAACGTTGAAGAAGCCGCGCAATGACAGTAATGCCGCTGCACCTTCCACAACTTTCGCGGAGGCCGCCGTGAGATACCTGAAGGTTGCCAGAGATAGTGTGTGTTCGGCGAGTCTTTGCCCACACCTGCCTATATAAAGGATATGTCTCCTAGTGACCAGTCCATCTTCCTGGAAAGGACAGGATGGACGATGAACTAGGAAGACAACTCCTCGGGAGGATGTATAATGGGTCACATGTGGCCTAAGTGCTGTGGGTCTACACTCACCCTCCCTACTGCACAGATACAGATAGCACGTGTTATGTTAAAAACGTAAAGCACGAAACTCTGGGTAGAGTGAGAGATATTTCAGTAAATGAAATTTAATATCCTTTAATCCTGCTTCATTTGCATCACGGAAGTTTGATTCACAAACTGATGAAAAATTCGTGTCATTCAAAATAATAGAGAATTGTAATTTCGAATGGATATTGTTTTGAGTTTGTATCTGTATCTATAGACTTTTTCTTCTTTTCTATCGAAAATATTCGAAAGTTCGGAAACTATCTTTGGATATTTGTTAAATTGTTCACATATATTAAAGCTGAAGCTGCAGGAATTCATCAGAAAATATCTAATTGAAGGACATAAGACCTATCACAATAAAAATAATCTTATAGTGTAGAACATTGAAAGAAGGGTGAGGATTTGTCCCTCTACCATAAGTACAAACACAAAGAGTTTCTGTCTCACGCGTTTGATATTTCGACATAATTCGATTACCAGATCGCTTTTACTCGTTAGCTCTTGAACTTTCTCTTAGTAGTTATCGCTTTATTAAAAACGGCTAGACTCCAAGAGTCCAGTATCTACATTTGATTAGAAAAGACCAGAAATTATCATACTATTTGCAGATGCTTTTTCTAGTCTTTCCGATTGAAGATGCCAAAGCATATTTTTTATGACAAAAAGAAGCTCAATACCCTGAAAACTATATGGAAAAATTTTTGGCCTGAAATTACAATAAAAAGTGAAGTTTGATGCTGAAAGAAATCGAACATCAGTTATTTGTGAAAAAATGAATGTGGGGGAACAGAACATTGATTCACAATTCCGTTAGCTGAGTCGATCAATTTGTTGAGGGACAGGTCATACGCAGACATATTATGTCTTGCTCATCAAAAAATTGGGAAACTATTTTGAACTTGAACATTGTGAACATCTCAACAACTTTAAATATGTATTAAACTCAAATCAGACCTTCTTTGGAATATGGCTCATATATGTATATTGCCCCTGCACTGACCCTGCTAGATTTTAGTAGTGTCAGTGCAGCCTTTTGCTGCAACAGTGTCTACCCAATAGCATTCCGAACATCACAGGAAACCTTGAAGAAACATCGAAAGAAAGATGGGGACGTGTAGTTTTTCTTTTCCAGTTAGTTTAATTGGGAACTGTTAGACTGAATTAATGATGTTTATTACTGGAGTTTTATCCCAACACCAAACCGTTATTTCAACACCTCGACACGTGTTTCGAAAGAAAGATTTAACTAAATATACGTACAATGTTATACTTATTCATACCATAGATATCTCTGCTAGGTACCTCCATCTTGAGTGTTATAAAATTAATTTCACAATGTTGCTCCATCTACTAGTCTTAAATTAATTTTACAATGTGTCGTTTTGTAATAGTCAGCTAAATCGGATATTCAAAATATTATTTCAACAAGCTACATAGTATACTATTAGGTATTGATCCCCCATCGTTATTCATAATATTATTATGTTTACTTATTTCTACACTCTAGGCATTTAGATGCCTGTTGTTGTTAACTTGTCTAAGTAATCTTAATGAACTGAAGTGTATGGAATGATTGCAGTCCTGACAATTAATTTCCTGAATTCCAGACTTTTCCGAATTCTCGACTTTGACCTTTCTAAAAGGATTTGTAGTGTATGACTTGTTTTAAATACCACCTTCATACCTAGTTCCTTGAAAATCAGCTTCTGAAAACTTATTTCTTTGGAGAATAGTATAATTGTAGAATAAACTGTTTTTCAAAATGAATGTAATATTTTGTGAGTGTTAAGTGAATGTATTCTTGTAAAAGTGCTGCTTTGGAAAGTTTTTTGACAATATGTTGGTAATATTTGATAATATAAAAAACAAAAACAGTATAATACCACCCGGTCAGTCTTAAGAATGTTCCTCCAGTGCATCTCCATTAGAAAATATAAAGATGTATATGGTTATTGGAATCATTGCTATGCTATTTCTCTCTCCATACAAGCCATGAAATTTCATTTGCTGTAGTTACCGCAAAACATTTGTTTGTTCTGGATGGAATCAGCAAGAGTAGTGAATCAACTTTCCGGACATCGCCAGTCAAAGGTGTGAAATACCGTATCCTTTGCTTCACCAAGACTTATGTCTAGAGGGGCCGGAGGGCATTTATTGCCTTGTTTCCCAGCAGGCCCAATACTAATTGGGCCCGGTCGGGCCCCATGCGGTCTCCGATACGAGAACTAATGGTTGCTTATTTGCTCGATTCAATGAAATTACAGGGTGAACGTTCCAATTTAAATATTCGCCATACATTATTTGTTTCTCAATATATTATCAACACTCAATTGATTTTTCCTTTTTTTGGATAAGAATAAAAAATACTAGGTTCCCAATGATATTTTTTTCTTTTCGCTTCTCTGATTTCTGTGATAGTGGGATTCAATGAACTTCCATAATGTTCATGAAATTACATTGATAATAACAGTCTAAAAATCAATGGGATATATTTTCCAAGACACTAGAACTGTTTCTGATCAAGTCAAAAAATTAGTACTTGTGATGCACTGTTTGGAACCTTTGGTGTGGTAATAATTATTATTGGAGTTTTTCCCAACACCAAACCATTATTTCAACACCTCATGTGTAAAATTCAAAGAATATCAGCTCGAGCTGATTCTGGAACAACAGGCATATTCAACCACTGAAGAAACCCGAACTCGAAAATCGATGTAATAAAAAACAGACTGCGTGATAGACAAACTGATATTGCTAGAAGACTGATCTGAGATGTTCATGAATATTATGAAGATAAGTCTTCAGGAAAAAGAAAAGAAATTTCTATACTGAAAGTGATACTGAAATAAGGCTGCCGCCTGTCACCTATTTTATTTATGATTATTCTTCCTTCATAGAAGGAAGTGAACTATCAAGCTTGATTACTTTTTACTTGTAAATCAGGTAGTTATAGTAATTCCAATATCCGGTTATAAGAGATCATATTTGAGTTTAGAACTTCGAGCTGGTGGCATTGTTCACTGCATTTTTACCGTGGTGATCCTCAAAGTATCAGATCACATTTCCATAGAACTTGCAGTACTACTTCCACTAAACATAACGGTCCAAGATGTTTGGTTTGAATTCTTCAGGTAGAACCTTTCAAGAATCTCTTCTGCCAGACAATTCTAGTTGCCTGTAAAATATTTCGAATACATGATTTTCCATTTTTATCTTCACTCAGAATATTCAACATTAATATGACTTTCAACTCGCTACCCAATTGTTGCCTTCTTACGAACCACTCTCAAATGTCGAAACGTGCGAGCCAAGGGTTAACGAGGTTACGCCAAACGACATGCAATTCCCAGCACGGTCAACAGCTAACATAATATCATTGATATATTTTAAATCCAGTAAGTCAATTGAAGTTATGTGGGAGGTATCCCGACTTTTAATTTGT